CCTTGTAAAGGGAACAATCGAAGAGGAAGAGAATCATAAATACATATGCACCAAGATATGGCTCATTTAGCAAAAAGTCCAATTGGCAAATAGGCAAAAGAACAGAAATTTCATGAAGAGGATAAATAGATGGCAAAAAGCACATGAAAAATATTCAATATCATTACTAATTAGGGAAATGCAAATTAAAGCAATGAGATATCACTACGCACCTATGAGAATGACTGAAATAAAAATAGTGACAACATCAAATGCTAGTGAGAATGTGGAGAAACTAGATCACTCATACTCTGCTGGTGGGAATGTGAAATGGTACAGCCACTCTGGAAAACACTGAGTTTCTTGTAAGGACTTTTTTTGGTTTTTGGCAGTGCTGGGGCTCAAACCCAAGGCCTTGAGCTTGCTAGCCAAGTGTTCTACCATTGAGCTACATCCCTAGCATCATTTAAATTGGAATCCCTATGTCATTTTTTCTAAGTAATAGAGATATTTATCTAGACAGTGATTTTATAACAAATCAAATTTTGGTAAAAGGAAGAAAGACAGTAGAAATAGAGTAACAATTTCAGAAATATCAGATTCTGCAGGCTCCTATCTCTACCCTTCCCATGCTCAAGATTCTTCCCACATTCCTCTGGGCCAAAGGTCCCAAGGAATATAGTGACAGTGTTACCTGTGATTTAGAATAGTTGCTGGTGCTAAAATATTTATGGCTCAAAAAAAAAAAAAAAAAACCATCCATGATTCTGAATCACCTACTTGACTTTGGGGGATTAGCAAATGGCTCTGGGAATTTGAGAAATGATTCTGAGGTTGGGCAAGTCTTAAAGATCCAAAATGTATAAGTAGCTTTTAACTCTTATCTGAGAAACATGATCTAATTGTCCCCAAAGAACCCAGAATTGTTTTTTGTTGGTGGTTTTTTTTTGGTACCGGGGATCAAACTTAGGACCGTGCGCTTTTGTGGCAGGCGCCAGAACCACTGAGCTAAATCCCCGGCCAAGAACTCAGAATTCTTCAGCATGGATTCAAGCCTCCTAGACTATCTCTAAGATGATTCTAGAATTGCTTAAAATTGAAGGATTCCATGGTACAGTAAAGTTATACAGTAAAGTATAATTCCTCAAAGAATTATACAATTTTTGCCAGACTCCTGGGCTGTACTATTTTAAATTAAAGATTGATCCCCAGGATAAGTCCCTTGCAGAAGGGAATATTTCTGAAGTTTTTTCCCTATAGCACCAGAGTATCTAGCACTCTTAAGATTCAATCTGGTTAACATCTACAGTCAAAAATATAAAAGCTGTTAATACAAAGTCTTCAACTACACCTTACAATATTAGCATAACTGGTGGCATAGCTCAGTGGTAAGAGTGCATACTTAGCATAGGCAAGGCCCTGAGTTTCATCACCAGCACCAAAAAAAAAAGTTTAATATAATTATGTGTACTTGTGGATTTATACCATATCTCTACACAAATATATTTGCAAATACACAGACATATAAAGAAATTTTAAATAAGCAATATGAGGATTCTAGCTCTCATAACAAGGTCATATAGAAACATATTTTACTTACAACAAAGGTAAATAGCTTCCTATAAGCAAATGTATATAACATAAAAGATAAAACGTACTTGTCAACAAAGGTGCACTTAAGAACATAAAGTAAAAACTCATCCCACCAACATGAAGGCAGTGTTAAATTGTGGGGAAGCAGGCATGCCCTCTGCTATCAGGGAGCTTGCAGTCTGAGGAGGTCTGCACATAAAAGAGAGCGATCGTTTCCTTTGTTCAGAGAAGAAAGAGAAGCAGAACAGTAGATCAAGTCACAGACAATCTGCAGAATACATAAATCCTATACTGAAGTCACAGACCTACTAATTAAGACCTCAAAATTTGCAGAGGTGGGGTTGGGGGTGGGTGGATAAAAATATTAGGAGACAATTATAGGCTGGGAATGCAGCTCAGAGGTAGAGGCCTTGCCTAGCAGGCTTGTAGTCCTGAGTTTGATCCCTAGTACCAGGGGTGAAAAAAGACAAGTACAACATGAAATTTATTATTTTGTCTCAATAACAAGCAAAGCAGAAACCCTATTTATTTTAAATTACTACCTTTTTTTTCCTAAAACCCATTTCCTAAGGTAAAATGAAGAACAGAGAAAAGGAGTATAACAGTATATTTAGAGACTGCAGCTTTCTTCTAACAGCCTACATCAGTGGTTCTTAATTGGGGATGATTTTGCTTCCCACAGTGGCACTATTTGGAGACATTTTTGGCCATACTAAGTAGAAGGATCTTATCGGTAGCTAGAGTGTGGAGGTCAGGGATACTGCTAAACATCCTATAATGCACAGCAAAGCACCCAAAACCAAGAGTCACCCAAGCTAAAATGTCAATGGTGAGATTAGGGACCACATCATAGTTGGATACAAAAGATTTAAAAATCAGTAAGTCTCTAGAATAAAAACAGTACCACTTTAAGATACACTGTACTGCTGGAGAGCTTAACATATTTAATAGGTCCATAATGGGAAACTAAAACATGCTGAAAAGTATTAGCACATTTTTTAAAAATTGCAAATATTAGCATACAAATGAAATGTAAACTTGACAGATGGGAAAGGCAATATTTTGCTCGATTTTGATTATTAACTGTTTATAAAACTGCAAAAAAAATGCTCATGGTATTTCTGATTTTGGTTAAATGTGACAAAAGATTTATTCAACTTTGTCACTAAAAATGGCCACAAGTACTAAAAGTAAAAGAGTAGTTCCTAGATTCACAAAAGAAAAAAAAAAGAGCCACCATGGGGTAGGGGGTAATACTAGGGACCAAAGCCAGGGCTGTTCTACTACTGAACTACATCCTCAGCCCTTTTTTACAATTTTGAAATAGTATGTTGCTGAGCTACACAGGCACACCTTGAATTTGTGATCCTCCTGCCTCAGACTCCCATGTAGCTGGAATTATAGACTTGCACCATCATGCCTGGCTTAGCCACTGATTTTAGGCAAGATGCTCAATTTCAATGAGATAGTTAAAGTTATTTTCCCACATTATCTAAGAGATATTTATTTAGTACTGGGGATTGAAATCAGGGCTTTATACTATACTAAGCTACATCCCCAGTCCTTTAAAAAAAATTTTTTTTTTTTGGCCAGGCACAGTGACGCATGCCTGTAATTCCAGTACTTGGGAGGCTGAGGCAGGAGGATTGTGGTAAGCTTGAGGCCAGCCTGGGGTATATAGTGAGTTCTAGGCCAGCCTAAACTACATAGTGAGACCCTGTCTCAAAAAACAAAATTTTTTTTAAAATTTTGAGACAGGGACTTACTAAATTGCCAAATTACCCAGGCTGGACTCAAAATTAGAATCCTCCTGCCTCAGCTTCCTCCTACGTGTTCTGGGATTACAGATATGTGACACTACATACATCTTATTTCCAAATCTTAATGGAGTTAACAGTACAATATATGTGTTGCAATGTCTCCATCCAAGACAACTTTAGTAACTGAAGAAGTCATTTACAAAAAAAAAACAAAAAAAGAAGATACTTCAAGGTCACTGAAATGGAATTTGCAAAAATGCAATCTGACCGGTCTATCATAACTGACTCCAAGATGGACACACATGACGATAATGAGAAGATCCTCTAATTATCCCCTATTATTTTCTAATAGATACTTCTACAACCCTATGACTTTATGTGATCAATCTTGGCAACAAGGAAAATAAATTCACTCATTCATCCAAACCCAAATCCCCAAATGCAGGGAGGGGCAAATAACATGAGAACAGGTTGGGGTGCTCAACTGCTATAGGACAATTGCAAAGGCTTGTCTTCTACACTGTTTCTAGCAATAAATGGGGGACTGTCTCTGGTCCTCAGGGTCTACGGCTCAGTGGCCACAGGAAAACCATTAGCGTGGACACATTGCTGGCTCTTCTGTTAGCTCCTGCACAGCCATTCATCTCAGAGCAATGAGTAGACTGGACAAATACTAAACATACCCCAGGACTGAGGTGTAGCTCAATGGGGGCACTTGCCTGGCATGCAAGAGGCTCTCAGTTCAATCCCCAGCACTGCAAAAAACAAAACAAATGAGCAAACAAACAGAAAAACAGACTAACAAGTAAAATGCCCTCATAAAGGCAATTCTTAAATTACCAATAAATTAGGGGACTATCCTGAAATTAAACTGTCAATTAGGCACTCAATAAAAACAAAAGGCATTTGTGCAGCCATCTTAGAACTAAGAAGATAAAGAACAAGAGAAGAATGGGCTGGGGATTTAGCTCAGTGGCACCCTGCCTGCCTTGAAAGGTCCTGAGTTCGATGCCCAGTACCAAAAAAAAAAAAAGAACAGGAGAAGAAAACCATTAATTAAAATCAGTCTTTCCACATAAAAAAAAAAAGGTTGAGATTTGGTTGAACAAGGTAAAATGAAGGCAGTGTCTTTATGGTCAATAAAGGGAAGCACTAACAAATTCGCTTATCTGAGAGGGACACATTGAGCTTATATTTGGATGTAACATTGAAAACTTATGGCTTTACACATAAAATGTTAAAGATTTACAATTCCACGTTTTCTCGGTTATTCTTTTTTTTCAGCTATATGGGTTTCAAATAACCCACTTAACTTCAATTAATTAAAGAAACATTTTTCACATAATTTTGGAATGAAAGGTGAGTGGTGCTTGCCGACAGCTATTAGCACTCGGATGGTAAACACCTGTGCTCTGTGCACCACTGACCCCTGCATAGAACAGAGGAGGGAGGACCTAGGACATAAAATACACTCGGAAATGGTGAATGTCCTTTGGACTCTGCTAGAAAACAGAAGATATAAAGTTGTGAGGTATTGCTGCCTTGTAATTTTACCAAGATTTGGATTTTTAAAAGTGAGGGTTTTTTTTGGTACCAGGGATCAAACTCAGGTCCTTGAGCTTGCACAGCAGGCAGCGAAACCACTGAGCCAAATCCCCAGCCCCATGGTTTTTGTTTTTTAAAAGAGCAATGCTTTTTCTCATTGAATCTCCGGTGCTGGGATCCCTGAGGCCACCAGCCCTGCACTCCGTGGGCAGGTCCACCAGTGTCAAGCCTTGTTGTACCAATGCATGGAGCGCTTCACTGCTTTCACCCAGTTTTCCATATTCATTTCATAGTCTTCCCATTTCTTTTGTGGCTTGAAAACCATTTCGCTTTGCCTCAGTTTATTTAATTCTTCCTTGTCTTTCCAAAACCCTATAGATGAAAAAAATAACTCTCAAATTTTAAGGCAAATAATGAGTCCACAAAATTTAACCACAAACATACGTGTTTTGTGCTAAGGAAAACCACTAGTATTTTTAAAAAATGATCCACACGATTTTGTTGCTTAGATTTCTGGTAGATTGGACTATTCCTGGACTATTGGACTTCTGGAAATCCTCCTGCCTCAGCCTCCCTAGTGCTAGGATTACAGGTGTGTACCACTATACCTAGCATATTTTCTTTTAATTAAAATGAGTGAAAGTAGCTGGGTATGATGGAGCACATCTGTGATCCCAGCACTCAGGAGGCTGAGGTAGGAGAATTGCTGCGAGTTTGAGGCCAGCCTGGGCTACATACTGAGTTTAAGACCAGAACTACATGGTGGGATCACCAATTCAAATAAACAAAAAGAAAAAGAGTGAAGGTAAATTAGTGGGATTTTTTTGTTGTTGTTCTGTCTTTTCTTTGAGGAATGTGCTGTTTTGTTTTGTTTGCGGTTAACAGGGATGGAACTCAGGCAGGCACGGCGCAACAGAGCTAAATCCCCGGCCCTAAATTAGTAATTTTGTCATATATCTTCAGGTGAGTGGCAACTCTGCCAGATACCTAAAATTCAAAGCTAGGAATTAATATAATAGTTTCTTTTTCAAATGATAGCACTTCATACAATTTAAATTTAAACTAAAATTCTAGTTCTAGCATGTATTGTTCTTTGCAAAGAGGATCATGGGATAAACTTATTATTGTTGTTTTGTGGAGCTGGGTATTAAACCTACAGCCTCTGAGCTACACTCCTTGCCCAGACTAGATCATGTGATTCATATAAAAAGCAGCACAAGAACCCATTTATAACTATAAAACATAAAGTAGTGTGAAATGATACAGGTATCGTATGTAAGCTCAGTATCTCCTGTCTACTCAGAGGTTCAGCCCACCTATTTTGAAGTACTAACACAGTCTAAAACTCTGAAATACATTTTCTCTTGAATAGAAAGGTATTTTAGTGACACATAATATATTTTTCTAATTTTTTTTTTAGTACTAGGGATTGAAAGCAAGGCCTTCACACTGAGCCACATCCCCAGCCCTTTATAAAATTTTGATAGTCTCAATAATTTGCCTAATCTGGGTTTGAACCTGCAATCCTCCTGCCTCAGTTTCCCAGAATGTTGGGATTATAGTTGTGTAATACTATGCTTGCCTTTGGATTATAGTTGTGCATCAACCATGCTTGGCTTTTATTCAAAAAATTTTCTTTTTGGTCACATTCTTTTTATTTACAAAGTTAGCATTTTAGATTATGCTTAAAGGTATTAATTTATCGAAGCTTTTAAGAGACTACATATATACCATCTGTACATCAGTTAGATGAATCGAGTCATGAAAAGAAATACTTAAAACTCATTTCTAAAACTTATTATTTACATTTTAAGGTATATATACATTTTTGGGTTTGTTTTGGTTTTTTTTGGTATCAGGGATCGAACTCGGGACCTTGCACTTTCGAGGCAGGTGGCAGCCACCACTGAGCTAAATCCCCTGCCCATATATACATTTTTAAAGTCATCTTAAATACCTACAGAACAGACACTGTTTCTTCAGGTAAATTTAGAAAAAAATAGAGGATGTATATAATTTTCAAGTATAATATTTCTTTTTCTTTTTTCTTAGTGTTATGGGGATTAAATTCAAGGATACTCTACACTGAGGAATATCCCTAGCCCTTTTTACTTTATTTTTTGAGACAGGGTCTTATTATGTAGTTCAGGCTGGCCTTGAACTCACGTGATCCTCCTGCCTCAGCTTCTTTAGTGCTAGGATTACAGGTGTGCACCACTGTACCCAGCTCAGGTCTCACATTTATAAGAGAGCCAAAGTTTGAAATTATCAGTGGATTTAACGAAGGAGATAAAACTCAAGCTACTATATTACATGTAAGAATAACCTACACGTTTGTTAAATCGGGGGGGGAGGGGTTAATGAGATTAAACAAATGGCTTTCACCCTGAGTCTCATCACCAGCAATTTTCTTTTTTGTTTGTTTGTTTGTTGGTACCAAGGATTGAACTCGGGACCTTGTGCTTTCGAGGAAGGCAGTCTTTTGTTTTTATTTTGAGTCAGGGTCTCACTAAGAAGCTAGGTTACATAGGCTAGGCTTCAGTTTTCAATCTTCCTCCCTCTGCCTCCCAGAGTTCTGGGATCACAGGCACGTGCCACCTTACCTGTCATGATTTACTATAATATTAAGCTTAATTAATTCAGCTTGCAAGAAATTTTTTTTTTTGAGACAGTTCTTGTTGAGTTACTACATTCCCCAAGGTGGGCTCTAATTTGTGATCCTTTTGCCTCAGCCTCCCAAGTGCTGGGATTGCAGCACGCACCACCACATCTGTTGCGATTTACTACAATGTTAAGCTTAATTTATTCAATTTGCAAGAATTATTGACATATCTTGGAATTATTTCCTTGTTGCATTCTATATTTGTTTGATTAAGCATTACAAATTGTCAGTGCACACCTGTAACCCCAGCTACTCGGAAGGCTGGGGCAGGAGGATCACAAGTTCAAGGCCAGCCGGGGTAATGTACCAAGACTTTGCCTCCCTCTTGGTTTTACCACATCAGCACTTCCCTTTGCACGAGATGCTTTTTCTACTGAACTGTTCAACCTTTGTGCACTCCTCACCTGTCCACCAGCCCCTTCAAACCCGAACTCAATGTTTCATTTTCTGGGAAGCCTGCCACTTGCTCCATACCATTGCTACTTGCTGGCTTTATCACACAGGTATGATAATCTTCCTTCTGATTTCTTGTCCTAGATACCTGCCTAATCCCACAAGAGATCGGGGAGTTACTGAGGATTGAACCCAGGGTCTTGATGCTCAGCTACATCCCCAGCCTTTTTTTTTTTTTTTTTTTTTGTACCAGGTTACAATTTTTTTTTGGTACCAGGGATCGAACTCCGGTCCTTGTGTTTGTGGGGCAGGCGGCAGCACCACTGAGCTAAATCCCCGGCCCTACAACCCCAGCCTTTTAAAAACTTTTTCATTCTTGAGACAGGGTCTAAGTTGCTAATTTTTCCGGCTGGGCTCAAACTTGTAACCTCCTGCCTCAGCCTCCTGGAGGGCTGGATTACAAGCATGTGCCACCATACCTGGCTAAGATTTCTTCTTTGTCAATGTCTACTCAATCTCATCTGAGCTCTCTTTCAACTACGCTTCAACTTTTGGACTGCTGTGTTTATTTCTGCATTATCTCTTTTCAGCAGGAACCTTGTCACATCAGTTTAGCCAGAATCTCCAATCCTCAGTATCTGATCACCTCGGATCCCTCTTCCACACCAACCCCCAGGTGGTATCTGGTCTTGCCTGGCCTCAGCAAAAATCCTGTTAGGTTGGTTTTCAGCCAGAATTTCTTCTTACCCCAATGTTTCCTCCTACTGCTGTTTACTCTGCCCCTTGGCTATAAATTCTCACTTTCCCTTTTCTCCCCCACTCCAAAATTTTATTACAATAATTCCTATGCCTATCTCAATAGTCCTCTGAATTGAGTCTGCCTTACTATTCTTTAACAAATGTTGCTCTAATTCTTTTATTCAACACCAGCTGCCTCCCATATAGAGACCAAAGCCACTGAGGATCACAGGCTGCCCCTCCTGGCTCTGACTGAGGGGTGACAGCTGGCAGGGCAGAGCCAGACCAAACCAACAGAGGTCTCAGGAGCAACACAGTTCAGGCGCATAGACACAGCCCACCCAGCAAGGAGAAGTGCGACCACAGAAATCCCAGTCACACCCAGGCATGGTGGCACTTGCTGCAATCCCAGCACCCCCTGAAAATGAAGGAGGATTGTAAATTAAGTCCTACTTGGGCAACTTGGTGACTTAGTGAGACCCTATGGCAAAGTTTAAAATAATAATAATAATAATAAAGGGCTGGGGATGTAGCTGAGTGCAATGGCCCTGGGTTCAGTCTCCAGTGCCACAGGGGGGAAAAGTGCTGCTAACCTAGATGGACACCTTTAGGTGACCTCTTACCACATGGGGAGAACACCGCCACACTGAATAACTTGAAAGTTTTCCTTCTTTTTGTTTCAGCTAAAACTCTTTTCAGTAATCTACAAGGGACCACCAAGGTCACCAAGTCACTCTGACTTATTCTTTTAGGCAGCTTAGAGTAAACCTGGCAGAGCATGCACAGGTGGATTCATGTTCCCAGTCTTTCTAAACATGTGCACACTGAGGAAGTCCAGAAATATGTCCACCATCTTTGTTTTTTGAACTTGTGCCCTAGACCCTGAACAGAGCATACCTAGGAATGTGTTGGCTTATTCTCTTTCCTATTTTCTTTTTTGAGACAGACAGGGTTGCCATGTAGTCCAGGCTGGCTTGGAAACTGCTATGCAGCCCAGGCTGCTCTCAAACTTTGGATCCACGCTGGGCATAGTGGTGCAACCAGGCGTGGTGGTGTGCACCTGTAATCCCAGCACTTGGGAGGCTGAGGCAGGAGGATAGCTGAGAGTTCGAGGCCACCCTGAACTACATAGTGAGACCCAAAACCAAAACAGGGCTAGGGATTTAGCTCAGGGGCGCTGCGCCTGCCTCAAAAGCATAAGGTCCTGAGTTCAATTCCCAGTATTGGGAAGAAGAAACAAACAAAACAGGGGCTGAGGATACAGCTCAGTGGCGCAAGGTCCTGAGTTCAATCCCCAGTACTACAAAAAACAAACAAATGAACAAACAAACTTTGGATCCTCCTCCCTGAGCCTCCCACATATTGGCACTATAGGAGTGTGCCAACATGCGATGCACCGTCTTCCTAGCTTGAATGTGTCATCTATGACCTTCAACTGAGCATGTTCAGAAATGTGCCCTGTACTTTTCTATATGTACATAGGCTCACCCAATTAAATCCCCACAGTGCTTCTTTCCAGGATGAGCACTGCTTTACAAACAGCCCTAGTACTCCCCTTACCTGCTCCAGGTAATGGACCTTTATCCACTCTTAGCTCCTGCTTCTGCCTTTTGGTTTTGCATTCACCATGATGTGAACTTATTGCATTCAGTTATAGAAATGGTTTGAAAGAAAGCTCTCCATTTTTAACAAAATTCAGACATTGCAGCCAAGCGTGGTTGTGCATGCCCATAATCCCAGCACTTGGGAGGCCAAGACAGGAGGATTACCATGAGTTCAAGGTCAGTCTGGGCTACATAGTGAGTTCAAGACCAGCCTGGACTATACAGCAAGACCTTGTCTCAAAAAACAAAACAAAGCAAATTCCCACATACCAACAGCAAGGCCAGCCAGAGAAGCTGCACCCAGGCAGGACATGTCGAAGTGGGCAGGTCTGTCTATGTTCTCATTGATCAAATCTGAAGTCATCTGCATGACAAAACCATTCCTACATACTCCTCCATCTGCCCTGTGGAGTCAGAGACATGAGATAAGTTACCACCACACAAGTATCATTCATTCTTTTTCTTTGGGCTACATATTTTTTCTTAAATCCTTGATTGTATGAGTTTTTTTCCTATTCACTCACTTGCCTTCTTCTCTTCTCTTCTCTCCTCCTCTTCCTCTCCCTCTTCCTCTTCTCCTCTCCCTCCCACAACCCTCTCATTTTGCTACTTGCTTTTTTTCAGTGTTTTTGGTGCTAGGTAATGAATCCAGCCCAGGGTCTTGTGGATGCTAAGCAGATGCTGTACTACTGAATCACATCCCTAAATCCTGTAAGTTTTACCTTCTAATTCTAAAATTAAATCATTTAACATTACCTGATGACAGAGGATCTTACTGAATAATATCTAAACATTTTTCCTCATTCTTGCTATCGATGTTTTCATTTATCCTGTATGCTTTGAACTAGTTCAAAACAAACTAGGTATAATAAACTAGAGCAATATAAAACTCATGTGGACAGGACAGTGAAGAAAGTCAAGAAATCTGATGCTACCAGGCCAAGGATGGTTACAACTCAAAGAGAGACTTCAGACTTATATAATGCACACACAAGTGTCAATATCCCCCTAAATTTCATACTTTGCAATATTCTCCATAATTCCAAAATTAGTTTTCTTTTCCCCCATTAAGTTTATTGGTACATTTTCGGTACAAAATACAGTTACAGTCATCATTGGGATCTTGTGCCTTTACATGAGTCTCTTGGTTCTTATTTTTTTCCCCTTCCCTTGCCCTCCCTTCACCCCTCCACCCTTCCCTATTTGCAAAGACCTTGTTTCCATTT